TTTTTCTTGAGACAGGGTCTCGTTATGTAGTTCAAGCTGGCCTTGAACTTACTATATAGTATATAGCCCGGCCTGCCCTCGAACTCATGGCAATCCTCCTGCCTCAGTGCTGGGACTATAGGTGTGTGCCACCACACCAGGTTTTTGTTTGTTTTTTGAGACAGTGTCTTATTATTTAGTCCAGGCTAGCCTTAAACCATTTTAAGCAAATGTTTTATAGTGATAGCCTATCTATGTGGTATGATTGAAAAATATGATGAATGTTTAAGTTTTAAAAATTTATTATAGTAAAAGACACATTGATTAACTTGCTCAAAATACCCCCCTCACTTCAAACAACACTCATCCCATTGTTCTTACCACTTTCTGAAGCAGTTCTAAGTCCTCTTTTGTGTCTTTACGCTGATATGGCTGCCTTGATGTCCTGCGTCATTTCAAAACATTTACCTTTCATGGTCATTTTTACTTTGGGGAAGAGCCAGAGGTTGCACAGTGCTAGATTGAATAAATAAGGTGGATGAGGACACACTGTCATTTTTTTTTTTTTTTTTTAGACACGGTCTCACTGTGGAGACCAGGCTGGTCTCGAACTCACAGCAATATTCCCGTCTCAGCCTCCAGAGTGCTGGGATTGCAGGTGTGTGCCACCATCCCTGACTTTTTTTTTCTTTGCAGTTTCCTATAATAGAAGTAATGTGTGATAGATCATGAAACTGCATGTTTCTCGGGCCATTTTCTATGCACATCATTTCTTAAATAATAAGTTGTTACAGTAATCAGAGTTCTCCTGGTACAAACTTAGCTGAAACAGTTGCATCAAGGTGAGAAACACAATCAACATTACCTTGATGTTGGATCTTGATGGAGGTGCTATATTCCCATGATGAGAACTGGGTGACTTCCATTGAGAACTCTGAACCTTGGATCAGGATCATAACCACAGACCCAAATTTTATCTCTAGTGATGACACTTTTAAGCTAGCATCCGAAGCAGCACTGTGGTGCATATCCAGTGAAACAAGTTGTCATGATCCATGTTTTATGGCACACTTTAAAACACACCTTGTCAATCATAGCTCACAAGCAAATTGCACCAAACAACTTCACTGTAGTGCTCACTTCGGCAGCCCATATACAAATAACTTCACTGTATTTTTTGATCACACCTCGTAGCTATTACTTCTCCATTTTAATGGTCTCTTATGTTATCACTTTTTTTTTTAAATAAGTACTGTATGGTTTTATTTTCAGTGCTATTTTAAGAGGTAAAAATTTCTGTCCTTTGACTTCAAATCTGATCACTAATAATTCTATAGCACCTATACATAAAATACACACGTATTTCTCCACTCTCTTAAAAATCCTCTGTGCTTTTTCTGTTTGTCTCTTTACCTGCTTGCCCCTGACAACTACTACTAATCCTTTTACTGTGTTCATAGTTTTGCTTTCTCCAGAATGTCATGTTCCTGTAGTTGCAATCATACAGTATTAGCTTTGTTCATGTAGTGATATTCATTTAAGGTTTCTCCACATCTATTTATGGCTTGATAGTTCATTTCTTTTTGTCTTTGAATAATATTCCATTGTCTAAATGTATGAGTTTATACATTCAACTACTGAAGGCAGTTGTGTTAAAAGCTGCTGTAAATGGTCACCTATAGGTTTTGGTGTGGACTTAAGTTTTCAGCTTCTTTGGATAAATACTAAGGAGCATCATTGCCAGATTAGATAAAAGAGAGTATG